TTTAACTTCCGTACTACTCCAATTTGTCTTCTATGTAAACGGCATTGGTATCTCCTAACATAGAAAGCATGTTAATGGTTTACAATAATTTTAAATAAAAATCAACTAATCTTTTAATTAATTAATCTTTATGTAAGGTATTGGTTGAGATAAAATATCGTGACTTCCATCCACCGATTACACGATATTTGAAAACTGGCAAAAAGGAGGGAAAATTCGAAAGGTAGGTTGTGATGGGAGGTTAGTGTCCGCGTGGTTCGAAGTCACGATATCTCAAGTGGTAGAGCAGCGGCTTATTTAGCTGAAGATCTTGGGTTCGAATCCCGATCGTGGCACTTGCTTTTATTGTATATTTTTTTATCTTGTTTACAAAAAAAATTGATTTGATTTAAGCCTCTTTCAACTTTAAAAACCTTGGATTTCCGAAGACTCAGTTTTATGGAAGATTTTATACATCTAATTGATCCATTGTCTACTTTTAAATGGAACTATTAAAGTTTTTATTAGCCTTTTATGCTTAGTTTATTTGTTATTTTATTAAATAGGCGTCTATTGATTTGATGTTGCTATCAGAGTAGAAAGTACGTAAGAGCGTAAGACGTAAAGGAATTCAATATCAATAATGGAATCTCAAAAAGCACTTTCAAGAGAGAGGCCAATTTTACAGTATTACATTGTGGTGAGTGTTGGCGCACACATCCTGCCGTCGTTGAAAATATGGGAGAGGCAAAAAAAAAATCTACATTGAGATAAGCCGCGTAAAATATTTTTCTAGATCCTAGCCGGGAAGGTCCCAAACCACCTTATCTCATCCCTTTGACCAACGTTATTTGCTATCTCTATTTACTATCGCCTGCGCTGATTTGTAGAAATGTATCATCTTCCGTTTTGCTAAACTCGATGACTAGAGTGTGTTTAATTACACGCATTAAGTATAATTAAACCCTGAGCATACGGTAATTCATTGAAGTGATGGACGTCTGAGAAGAGCCGATAGAGATGCAAAAAGAAATGAACCGGAAATTTTCCGAGAGGAAAATCAGGGAGTTGACTAGGAAATGAACCTTGACCTAAAAAGAAAGAGCCTAAGTATAGCCATAAACGGGAGAATTATATTAAACTCGAACGTAATTTATTGGCTGAGAGTTGGTGATAAATTCCTGGCTAAATGGAAAAGGTGTGAGTTATGGGGCGGGTTTTTGAACTCCGAGGCTCTTATTTACTAGTTATCCTTAGATAAATAAAACGTTAGCGAGATGAATTAAACCAGAACGGGCGAAGGTGAAAGAGAGTTCCCGGTATTGGCAGCGGAACGGGTCCCTGGAAAGAGCAGGAGGGACCGGAGAATTTACGTGGAAACTTGTTCCAGGGGGCGGCGGAGAGAAACAATAAGAGAAGGCCAGTATTTCACCCGGCCCAACCCCTCGGACGGAGACCACCTCAGTCCGCACACCACCAACAAAACAATCTCGTTACAATTGAACCTTTAAATTTATTGGCGGGGAATATATCCTTGAACTTTCACACGAACCGTTTAAAATTGCTCGGCACGCCGGTGGGGTGGGCACACGATTCGGATTCCTGGTACAAACAACATTTTAGAACGGTTTTTCCTGCCCTTCCGCGAGTGAAACCTCGGCATAACGATTGACCAATCGAATAAAAAACAGTTTTAATTTCGAAAGTTGGGGGAAAATATGGATATCCGTTCGACGGTTGGTCCGCATATTAGAAAGCTGGAAGCTGAAGACCATCACGATCTTTCTTAAAAAACCACAGCAAATTTCGTTTAGAAAATTAATTATCAACATAATAAATGATTGGCCAAATGATTTTAAATATCCATAAAACAAATTTATTTTTGCTTTCTGCAACGACCAGAGCACAAGTGAAAAATATTGGAAAACAGCAAACACCAGTAGAAAGTTTTCATAATACCAAAAAGAACCAGTTCAGAAAATTTTCATCAAATTTGTTGTTTCAAATCATCATTCCTTATCCTTGAATTTTCGGTCAGAATCGGTATTTTTCCATCATCAGTTTATGCTTGTTCTCTTTGCGCTCGTCGGTAAAATCAAAATTACGTTTGTGATCTATAAATAAAAACTGATCGATGGTCAATTTCAGAGTAGCAGGGTAAGTCTACTATCATCTTGATTATTACACTTTTCGCCATTTTTCCATTTTCAGTATAAGTCTGTTTGAACGTTGAATTCTTCTATTACGGAACAGACTGATAGTCTCCGATCATCATGGTAAACGATTGTCTGAAGATATGTTTCGTAGTCTGTCTGATCGTTGTCTCTCACGTCGTTCTCTTTATAAAGCTAAATGGTAGTTCGGCCTTTTTTATATACTCTTTGTGCTGGAGAAGGTGGAAATCATCGATCGCCTGTTATTACAGATCCTGTTATCCATCCGTCCTCAGTGTTTCACCATGTCAATGAATATCTGCTTGTTGTCTTTCGTGTCCGACCAACTTACTAATTTAAGAGAAGCTTTGAGTGACAAAAAAATATCTCACTGTAATTTTGCTACAACATTTTCTATAATAATTTTTGTTATTTCAATTCTTATTAGTTATTTCTTGCATTGATATTTTAGTTATTTTATTCCTGTAACAGAGGGTATAAAACATTAGAATATATTTGTGATTTGTGCGGATTTGTGTCGTTTAACCTTACTTCTATGAACCTATTCCACAATCCGACAAAGTTAACTATTTAGGACTTACATTTGATAGAAGACTAACTTGGAATCCACACACACGATTAAAAAAACAGACACTGAACAAACGATTTAAAATTCTTTATTACCTACTCAACAGACAATCAAAATTACCATTAAAATCAAAACTTTCGACATACACATACCTACTCAAACCAATTTGGATGTATGGGTGCCAAGTATATGGATCGGCCAAGTATTCCAATATTCAAAGATTACAAAGTTTTCAATCCAAAATTTTAAGACTAATTGTTTCTGCCCCATTTTATGTAAACAATAATACACTTCACAGAGATCTTCAAATCCCAACAGTTTTTTCATCCATCAAAACATATTACAGACGTTTTCATAGTAAATTACAAAATCACACCAACACACAAATACAATTACTCCATTCCCCACAATTACCACGTAAACGTCTGAAAAGAATATGGATAAGAGACCTCTTAAATGATTAATATAATTTCATTAATCCAGAGCGGCTGCCAATGGGTAGCTTTCTCTATAACGCCCATAATGCCAAACACACAGTCTGAAATCCAATCTGCTGGTTGTATATCATGCATGTACAGTTGTAGATATAAATAAATGAAGTCAAAAAAAAAAAAAAAAAAAACCTTACTTCTACATGAGAAATTCCGTTGCACATTTAGTTACCTTTAAATTCTCTTTACGATCATATTTTTTATGCGAAAAATATTGGTTATGCAATCCTGTAACAACACGCTAGAATAGAATAGAATTTTGACAAAAAGTCAAAAATTACAGATTAGATCCATTAGATAACTTTTTTCAGTTAATTAATCTTTGTTTGGGGTCTCGGTTGGGATGAAAAAGTTAGTGTTAAGAGTGGGATGCGAACCCACGACCTTCCGCTAAACTCGCCGCTGCTCTATCACTAGAGCTATCGTGATTTCGATCCACTTGGACACCAACTTCCATCTCAACCTACCTTTCAAGTTTTCTCTCCTTACATAAAGATTAATTAATTGAGAAAAGTTTTCATCAATCGGACCACTCCAAAAGATTTAATAAGTAAAAGGAAGTATATCTTCACTAAAGCTCTCCGTGGCCATTTCATTTGTCGCAGAGAATCAAATATATTACACGACATTTGAAAAATGGCAAAAAGGAGGGAAAATTCGAAAGGTTGGGTTAAGATGAGAAGAGTGTAATTCACAATTCAAGTTGTAGAGCAGCGGCGTATTTAGCCGAAGGGCGTGGGTTCGAAACCCACTCGTGACTCTGACTTTTTTATCTCAACCAATACCTCACACATAAAGATTAATTAATTGAAAGATGTTATTTGGCCAATAGTACCACGAAATCTAATAAATTTTAGAAAATGTTATCATCACAATTTATGCTCCTACCTGGTTATAAACTAATGTATATTTTTGGATCAAATATTATTATTTTATATTTAATTAGAAAAAATGTAAAATGTAGAATGCTCCTCAATACGAAATAAATCGTTCCTTTTACCTTCGTTACCTAAAAACGATGATTTTTTCAAGATGTTTTTTAGGAGGGTTGACTTATCATATTCTTTTGAAAAGAAGTACCGATTCTACCAAATAAACTCATTTTCAATACATTCAACATATTCAAAAACTTAGTAAACGAAGTATGTTTTGAAAAATTTGTTAATATCTTGGAAGTTTTGTCACATTGTAGTGAATTTTTGATTTTTTTTTTTAAGATCTCCTAAATTATAAATTCTGATTGAAACAAGGATTCAGTAGGTTGCTCATTTTTTAAAAAATGTATCGTAGATTTTAAAAACATTCTTGAATTTTGATGAAAAATATGCTTAAGTAGCGAGGAAAATCTTTTGATCATTTTTAATTTGTTGTAAACATAAGAATTTAATTGATTCGTTATATTTATTTTTATCAAATCTTCCTTTTAAAATTTTCTGCCGTAAGCTAGCGATTTACTTGAAGTTTTATTTTTTGTATTTATTTATTTTTTTAAATTGGGAATTCAATAAAATAAATAACTTTATAAGCGGTTAGGAGAAATATTCGAACGTTATTTTGGAGGTTTAAAATACAAAAAGCGAAACAGTCGCGTATGTTGAAGTGAATTATTTTCGAACGCCTTTTTCCTTCATTTTTCTTATTTTATATTGTATTTAAACATTAAAATAATACATTTTTATTGTGATTTTTTTGGAAAATTTTATACAATTTTTGTGGAATGTTCATTAGATAATGTTTTCTTTTTGTGAAACCAAGACAAATGGTCTTACGATCTTTTTTTTGTTTCAGATGGTCACTAGGACAAAGAAAATCTTCGTCGGCGGCCTGTCGGCCCCGACGACCCTCGAGGACGTCAAGAACTACTTCGAGCAGTTCGGACAGGTGAGTCTGCTTTCAAACTATTCTTGGAGTAATTTAATATTGGGTCAACTGTTGAGAAATAGTTTCGGACGGAGGCCGGTCAGGTGGCTCGTTTTCTTCGTCTTCGTCTACGACTTAAGCCCCTTTGAAATTAATTGTTGTAGGGAAACTGTTGTCGTGGCCGGGGGTAAATTGGCGAACGAGACTAATCAGCCGTGCCGGCTCAACTTTGGAGTCGGATCTTGTAACGACAACCTCAAATTTGACTCGGCTTCCTATTAACTTAATTTTGTTTTGGGAAAATTTGTCGATTGAACTCACTGGAAATTAATCACCCGGTGGCCTCACAAATGGAAAAAACCCTGCCAATCGGTAATTCATAATTTCTTTTAAATAATCAAAAACCTTGATGTTTTTTGTTGAACTATAAAAATATTTTGTTTTAAATTGTTATTCCTTTCATCAAAACTTCATATTTTTACGTCAGATCTTTATTGATTTAAAAGCGTTGAATGAGGACTTAACTGAGACTTCACCCTTACTTTGCCAAGAAGATAGTAACAATTTAATTGTCCAAGTTTAATTAGAAGCCGTTTGAAAAGTATCAAAACAGATTATTAACTTAAAGGGGGGGGGGGTTGGAGATACGATCTCTTAACTCGGAACGATTGGAGGAATATTCTATCGACTCACCGGTTAAATTAAAGCAAAGCGGATCAAATACTCCTTTTAAAAAGACATTTATACAATTTATATATTTTTGGGGAAATTGGCTTAAACAGGCGCCTCGTAGAATTGAAAAGCCGTTCGTTTCTTAGGGAATGGCTTCTATCAGCGTTTTATCGCAACGGCTGCGGATAATTTATTACCTGGCGATAAAAAATTCCGAAGCACTTAAGGAAATTATGTAGACGAGATACTGTTCTAAGTAATTCAGGATCGAGGAACCTCCATCTGGTTTGAATCCCGAGCATCGCCGAACGGCCCCAACCCTGGAATCGGGGGCGAATCGATCAAATGATCAATTACGGCATCGAAACTTTTCCCGCGTAAAGAAAAGCTATTTATCAAGTTTTTTTATATTAATTTGACGACTCTTCGGTACCGAGTGCGATGAAAATTGTTAATTAAAGCCGGATGGATTGGTTTTTCTTACATGCCCGCTACCCTACGCTTAGAAGTATCAATCTTGAGGGGAAACAAATCAGTCAAAATCACTGGTATGGGGGGGACAAATGAACGTTACCCGGAAAATACATCATCCTCGTCTCCAGAGCCTAATGGGATAAATATTCGACATGCCGTTCGACCAGCTGTGACTGCGAATTATCGATACAGATTAAAACTAAATCACTATTTCAAATTAATATCCTTCGGCGAGTTTTTTCCATCGAAAGAAAAAATCTACAAACGATTTGAGCAGATCTAGATGATGAATGATAAATAGTAATAAAAATGTCTCAAATGAGAATCATCAATCAAATTCCAATAGTATTTTCAATAAACATCTCAACACTCAATATTTACTTCGTTTTCAACCTTCTTTGCATCTACTTTAACCACTTTAACCTTATTTCTCGATAACAATCCCAATCAAACTTAATATAATTTATAATCCTATTCGCGCGAAATATACAAAAACATTATTTTAACATTCCACTAGCGCCTACAATTCATTGTAGACGAATGTTTTTCAATTGCTTTTCCGCCAAAGTTAAGGGTTGCTTGTGCTGAGTTCTTCAGCGATTCTTCCTCATTGAATCTTTTATTTCTTAAAAGTTAGCCCGGATCCCAAGCAAGTCACGACGGAGTAGATGAAGTTCCGACGGCAGTTTGATTAAAATTAATCTCCTCTTGTTTGTGTACAGTAGCTTTCAGTCTTTTCTCCCCCCCCCGACTGTTGTCAGTTGCGCTTCGCTCTTGAGAAAAATCTTGGAATTTTGTTGCTTCGTCCTATACATAAATTAATTAATATCAGAATTTTAAGTATTCAGCCAACATCCAAAGATCGTGTTAATTTCACTATGAAAAATCTTCTGTAAAATTTTTTGTCTTATGTAAAACTATGGTACATAAATGCTTAACTTGTATTTGTTGTAAAGTTGAGGACAAATCTAACTTTTTCATTTTTCCTATTTCGTGCACATGTCTTCGGGGTTTTCTGCGAAGTTGGCTTTCATAGCAATCGACCTTGGAGACAAAATTGCGGCCTCCCGCGAATATTGCAATGTTCGCATTTGCGTGTTTAAGAGATTCATTTGGTAAACAGTGTCGGCCCTGTAATGTTCCCTTGTGAGATCCCAAGTTTTATTGCACTAACCTCCAAGCATTTGTAGTGGCTAGGAGATAAAATTGCGGTACTACACACGTTTTTTAGTTGAAACAGTGAAAATGATAGATGAAAAATATAAATGGTTTGGAACTAATGACCAGGAATTCACCAGTGGAGAGGCAAGTTCGTATGTGGTCAATCTCCAAGCATTTTTGGCTGATAGAAGAAAAAATCTGTTTAATGTGCAAGGGTTTGTTGGCAAGTAAAAACTACTTTTACTTATAGATAAGACTGTACGGATTAGGTCTTAGTGGAGGAAAGGATTATTGACATAATTCTGCATCAACCCCCCCCCAACTCTTTATAATAAACAGCAAGAAATGAACACGATGCGTTCAAAAAAGAGACGCCGAATTGTGCTAATTTTTAATGCATTTGTTTTCGTTAAGACATAAAAAAGACATAAAATTGCGGTGTCGTGTATTGATACGCCAAGCGTGTATATAGTAAAAAAAATGGCCAAAAATGTACCATTATGAGAGCTAGTTTGTATTGGGCTAATGTCCGAGCATTTTTTTCGCCAATAGAAATTAAAATGACGGTTTCGGCAGTGTGGCTTAGAGGTGGTAATGACTGTAGTGTGATGGCTAAGCCAAAAGTATTCGCCATATGCACAATGGGATCAAAAATGCACCCTTGTCAAGCGTCTACTTGAATTTCAATAATCTCCAAGCATTCGTTTGTTGCTAGGAATCAAAATTACCGTATCGTAATAGGATGGGACTAAGCATGCATCCTTGAGAAACATCAGGTTATATTTGGCTCTTTAAGCATTCGTTGCTTCTAGCATTTACGATATCATGTACGTAGGTTTGAAGTTGTAATATATAAACCAGCAGTACAAATTTATTAAGATGAAACCAAGAATGGAACCTTGTGAGGCGCCATCTTTAGTTGTCAAATCCCTGAGCGTCATTTGACGCACATAACTCTGAAATTGAAAACAGTGAAATAGATTCTAGTAATAATTAAAAATAGGTAGATAGTTGGTGTTTCAGTTTATAAATGTTTCTTGCTAGATCCCATTGAAAGCATTGGTCATATCCAGAAAAGCAGTCAATGTTCTTTCTTTTCTAAGTACGATGTAAATGTCTATCAGATTCTTATAATAAGAAATAAAGTTTTACAAGGAACTTTCTGGGGATTTTAGATATCACAAGGAGAAGCGTAGGATTTTGAAGGCATTATACTTTTCTAAAATACAACTCTTCTAGCTTGGTTCTTTGTAACTGTGTTGTTATTCCTTTTACAAGAGTTGGAAGAGGAGAGAATACATCAAGAAAAAGACAGAGATTTCATACATAAATTGGTATGAAGAATCATTTTCCGAGCGGAGGCGATCGGTAATACATTGTAGCTTCGTATAATAATGTAAATTTATTAATTTATTTATGAACTGTCCGTATCGTTTTCGTTTATATTCTTGTTTACCGGAGGCGGCCGGTAGATAAATCACGATCATCGAGCGGGACCGTCAGAAGCTAGAAAGCATCCATTACGTGCGCCCGAACGTGGGGAAAAATGTCCCTCGTTAGGATTCAGGGTGCCCCTCGCCGTTAATTCGGCTTCCCTTGTGCCCAACTCGTTCATTAGTGACGCAAGATTTCACTTTTGAACGTTCCGGATCAGCCCCAGGGTTTATCTTTATTCGTAATATTCTTTTTATTCTGAAAATGTTTCGCCTTTTCTGCCCCAGGACGTCATCTCGTACTCGGCCGGGTGGCCCCCCCTTAATTTTAAAATTTCCATCACGACTCCGACCCCGGGTTCTTTTTTCTACCGATTCGAAATCAACGCCCATTTAATAGCCTTCTCTTCACTCAGAGATGGGAAAAATCCGACACAAATAGCCACGGTGTTTTTTCATGTTGACAGAGTCAGCCTTGGATAAGTACAAAAAATGACGAATCCAAATCTACTCCGATATAAACCTAACGGTCAAAACAACATTAAAATGTATTCAATTTCAAAGTCACTCAAAACTCTAGAACAATGATTGGTTTACCAGAAAATACTTTCTTTTCAACAAACTTTATTTATCAGAAAAGAGTGGCTACATCCGAATTTAGTTATACACTATTATTTCTATTAATTAAGGTTTTTAGTTGAGATAAAAATTCAATGTGACGAGCTGGATTCGAACCGACGACCTTCTGCTAGATACGCCGCTACTCTTTTTATCTCAACTAAAAACCTTAATTAATTGAAAGATATTAATTGGTCAAGCGGACCACGAAAACTAGTGCATTTAAAATTTCAAATGAAGTATATATTCACTAAAGCTCTCCGTGGCCATTTCATTTGTCGCCGAGAATCAAATAGATTACACGACATTTGAAAAATGGCAAAAAGGAGGGAAAATTCAAAAAGTGGGGTTGAGATGGGAGGTTAGTGTCCGAGTGGTTGTCACGATAGCTCAAGTGGTAGAGCAGCGGCGTATCTAGCCGAAGGTCGTGGGTTCGAATCCCTCTCGTGCCATTAACATTTTTTCATCTCAACTAAAAACCTTAATTAAATAAAAGATATTAATTGGTCAAGCGGACCACGAAAATTAGTGAATTATTTCTATTACTGTTATTGCACCAACTTGCATGATGGCAGATGGTTTAGCTACCGGTTTGAACGTACTGGGCGTCTAGAAAGGAATGGAATTAACTGAATATTTAAACTTACCGGTTTTAATGGTTAT